ACCTGTGCTATGTAAAGCTGTTTCTTATACTGCCAAGAATCAAGAATGGTTGCACATAGATAATACAATGTATTATATGCCTTGATCAAATGCAGAAATACCTTTAGAAAATCACCAGAAAACTTGCAAAGTTTCTGTCTCTGGGTCAGAAAAAATATAACTAAGCCAGATATTATCTATTCTGCATTAAAGAATAAATTTGAGGGAAAGATAGAGTGAGGAGAGATATTATTTCAGTAGTGTTGTGTTTGTCACTACTATGTCTATTTTGTCTTATTTCACAAACATGTTTGAATTCCATATTCATTTATCCATGAATCTGTTAATCACGGGGATATCACATTACATCTTTAGTGTTGAACTGCTTATTAAATGTTCCATTTATTTTCAAACATGCTTTACTTCCATCATACGTTGCTTTTACTCTATTTAGAAATTGATTTGAGCTCCATATTAATTTCAATTAATTAATTATTTCCATGCCGGCAGTGGCTACTTCTGAAGTCATATTATCGAAGTTATGGTAGCCAGTGGCATTCATAAGAGAGTAAAACAGGTGAGATAGTGGTCACAGCATTGTGATCAAAGCAGAGGTGGTATTCAGCAGGTTCTGACCTGTTCTGGAGAACCAGTAGCAGAATTTTTTAGTAGTTTGTAGAACCAGCAAATACCACCTCTGACTGTCCCCAACCCCATCTTTTCTATGCCTCCTGAGTACCAGCTGATTGGCTGAGTCTTCTTTTGTTGCCCAGCACAGGAGATTGGAGCTGGAAAGCAGGTTAATGGGTTGGGGAGGGAATGGGGATTTTGCAGTATCATTCCCCTGCCACGCCCACCAAGCCACACCCACAGAACCGGTAGTAAAAAAATTTGAATCCCACCACTGGATCAAAGTCTCGTCTCTTTGCTCATCTGTAGAACAGTACAAACAGTATGTACAAAATGGTTCATGATATTGTGACTGCTATCTTACCTGTTTTGAAATATGCACCCAAGCACACATACACCCATGCACACACACAACCCCCCCCCCGTGACACTAGGTTAATCTGATATTCTCACACATCAGTTTCATCCCAATTTTATTTCATTACCTTTATAGTACTGAATTCACTCCATCAGATGTTCCTTATTTAGATCTGTATTCCCACTTTGAAAACACTTCTTTTATTCCTATCTGGAATCACACTGATTTCCTCTTCTACTTTTAATTTTAACCAGTCTTTGCTCTTTTCGACTATATTCTTCTAATTGGCATGCTTTAAAATGAAATTTCATTGCATACAGCTCTCAGTGTGTACAAAAGTTGTACATCAATCTTGTATCATTCATCACAGCTCTCCATTTTTCATCACATAATCAAATCAATCAAATATATAGAAGTATTCTTAACCCATGGATTTGAAATAGATTTTTTTTTTTAAAAGCAAGTGATCACCAAAGAATTTGAATGCTCATTCATTCTTGTTGCTTCAAATATCGATTTTTTTAACCTGCTCATCTTATTCCCACCATCCATTCATTATCACCTAACAGAGTCACTGTTTTCTCCTGATCTCATTCATTTATAATATGCTACATAATTTCATCACCACCATCCAAACACATACCAAAGTCAAACCTAGTACTAGTAAATGAATTTACACCAGTACAGATTGCACTATAGTTGGAGTGGAAAATCTAAAAGTCAGTGTAAACATCAGGTACCATGGATTTTCTATGTATTATCTATTGTGGCTCTGGAACAAAGAACAAATAAACGATTATTCTAATTCTTTCACAATATTGAAGACTCCAATTTTTGCTAATTTAGTGAAATAAGTTCCATAATTATATATACTATTTTCCCAACTTACATATATTACATAAGATAGGCCCTATCTATCAAAATTTGACAGAATTTGCAAAGTTTATATTTCATAATGTACTGCAATCCAGATCTACTGGAACTGTAGATGTAATTTCAATTCAGATAGAAGGCATCATGTTAAAGAAAGCTGACTTGAGTTATTAACCTTATCAATTCCTTCTGGATTTAGCTTGCCAGATAGTTATGGGAAGCCAAAATAATCTCATATCAGTTTTAAATTTGAAATTACTTGACTGATGCTGCATTCTTACACAGATTGTAAAGATCAAATCCCATTAATATACTGGGACTTATTTTCAAGTCCATATGGTTAATGTATAAAGAACAAATAACACAAAACTGTGACTCATATTTGTTAGTGTATATACCATGAAATAAATGTGACTTACATAACCTTATTTGCCATTCTCATCAAGCAATTGTCTTTGTTCATTACTCTGCTGGCTACAAACTCAGTTTGTTTTCATTTTCTCCAATTGCTTTGCTTCTATGTTTCTAATGAGTATGACTATGGTAACACTTGAACAACAGACTTCTATTTGCTTTCTTGGAAGCTCTGTAAAAGGCTCCCAGTGTTTTCATTATTACAGAACTGCAATAGAAATGAAGACCACAAAGTATCTTTTCAAAATACTGAAAAAAAAGGGAAGGAACGAGAAAAAAACTTTGGCAAGTACCCCACAGATCACATCCAAACTTTCAGATGCTGCCAATCTAGGGTGTACCCAGTATCTATATACAGCTGGTTTTTGTTGTTAAATCCAGTATAACTTTACATGTTTTTTACTTCTTTTGATCCAGAAAGATCCCTTCTGCTCTCTCATTTCTTTTAGGTGTTGGCAGCTGAGTGAACTATTTACACCGAGAGCAAAGCCAGGATAATCTGCTGTCCAAGCAGAGTAGAAAAGAGCTCACTGCTCCAAGTCCCCTCCTCCACAAATTCACCTGGTCCAATGAGCAATTTGTCCCATCCCAGTCAAATGACAATAAATGGGGTAACAAAAAATATGCTGCCCACAATTAGCTGTCTAAAAGCTACTCCTTTATTCAGATGTTAAAGAAAGTCTTTTTTTTCCACCCAAAGAGTCATTATACCCATTCCCCACCTTGGCTATCCCTAGGATGAAGGAAAAGAGGATATGTTGCAGAGTTTGGAGTCTGTTGTTCGTTAGACAGCTGAGTCAGGACTTACTACATTTTATCCACTCTAGAAAGCCAGGTAATGGTGGACATATAGTTCACACTTACATACAACAGGCCCATGATTGGTTTCTGGCCTGCAGTGTGAAACCTGCAGGTTGGCTGCAGAGGAGATGGAACCTCTGGTCTAAAGTTTGTGGAATGATCTGGTGGGGAAAACTAAATTATATTATGAGAAAATCAGTTTATTGTCATTAAAAGTCATTGTGCTTTTGAAATTATTTCCATGAAGTGCTAATTTAGTTCCTCAAAATAAAAGTTCTGAGATGTTTGATCTTTTTAGATGCGGTAATGAGATAATGAAGGAACAGTAAGGTTTGGGGTTGATTTGTGATTAACGTAGCGTCTGCAATGACTTCATTTTACTATGTTTTCATCAGAAATGAAATATTTTCCAGTAGAGGCATATGTGACAAATTTAAGAGATTTGCAACCTTTATATAACTTGCTTTGTGATCCAAAGGGAAAAAATATTTCTGCTTCAGCCAGTTTGGGCTCAATTCTCCCACCTAAAGGTATGTGGGAATCTGCTGTATACTGCTCCTGTATTTAGAATTAATTCAAGGATGGTCAAACTGTAATTCTCCTTACTCACAACTCTCCAATCCAGTAGTATGCTGGTAAATATTTAATAACTGGTTCAATTGGCATGGTCATTGACACATTTGCTACAGAAGAATTGATTGGTGTACCAGACGTAGTAGGTTAGCTTCACTTTCAGTCACTCACAAAATTCCCAAAAATTTAACAAGTGGCTCTCACAGGGTGGTACCACTGGAGTCGGAAATACCACTGCTCCTATCTCCTCGTGATTTGTTTGCCTCCATTGTCAACCAATAGTACAAGTGGGTTGAACAGTCTGTTTAACGACAGCCTGTAGTTTAAATCTACCAATCCTCATCCATGGTGTATGAAAAGCAGTAAATTCCTATAATTCTAGTAATCAAAATGAGATAATAGAAATTATTACAGGAATATTTTCTCAAAAATCTTGGTTCAAAAGAAAGCCTTCTTTCCAGAAAGGGAAAAAAAGTTGGATGATAAATACAGCTTAGAGAAATTGCATTTCATAGCCTGTCTATGCCATCTTTTTAATTACTCTTTCTTCTCTATGAAATCATAACTGACTTTTCTTTGGTCTTACTGTCCCAAAGGCATCCTCTCTCTCCCTATGAAAGCCGACTACTGCAGTAAATATGTGACAGCCAAAAAAAGAATTGTAGAGAAAATAATATCGCACTACCTCTACAACAAAACTAAACAGAACCTCCAGGAACAAGTGCAGTATACCGCCACAGGAAGATGGTAATTGAGTAAATGTAGGGATAGGCTAGTATTCGGGTATTGTTTATCTACTTTTAGAAGCTCAAGGCCCTATTTCAACTTTGGAAGAGCCATAGCTAAGGAGTAGTTTTGATGGTTGGTTGAGGATATGGTTGAAGCGCAAGGCCATACCCCAGAGTCGACAACACCCACCAGGCAGGCGCAGTTTTTCCTTCCAGAGCGCCACCTAGCCTCCGGCTCTAGTAGCTATGATTTGCCCCCACCCCAGCAGCAGCAGGCAAGGAAAGGGGTGCGTAGGTGGTGTGCGCGTGCCCGGAGAACTAACTCTCTCTCTCTTGAGGAAGCAGCCCGAAGGCGTTTTAGTTTTGAGCTCTTTGGTTTGCGCGCAAAATACGCGCGCCAAGTCAAAAGCAACCCGCTCGGCCGCGCCAGATCCAAAACCGGACTTGCTCTATAGCTATGAAAAATCACTGCAGAAACGGCAGCGCACCAGACACGGGAGCGCTTACAGGGAGAAGCGGGAAACCTCCGGCTTCGCTCGCAGTCTCTTTCCACTCTTCCACCCGCATGTGCAAGGGGCCTCTGCTCCTCTCCAGCCGAGTGGGGGCGGGGGGTTTTCCTCCTCTTCAGTCCACCCCACGAGCTCCTTCTCTTCGGCCGCGGCTTCCAGGCGTTGCCGGATGATGGGCAGCTGAGGCGGCGAGCTCGGCTACTATAGAGTGGAGCAAACAACCCTACTACTTAACGCGGGGAAAGAGATCTTTCTGGAGCGCTTCTTCACTCTTTCTTTCTTCCTTTCCTCGGTTGGAGAGGAGTTGATCTTTTTCACCAGGCGCCTTCCGTGACACCCCCCCTCCCCTTTCCCCTCCCGCCCCCCCCTACCCATTTCTCTGTAGTCGTTGCAAAGAGAAGGGGGGGAGGGGGAAAACCCAAACAACAACAACAGCGAATCTAGAGGCGTTGGAACCGGGATCTCGCGCCGTGCCCTGCCTCCAGCCGCCCGGAACCCGGGGATAGGGGCTCGCTCGACTGAACCTTCGGAGTCGTTCTGGCCCCGCTCGCCGTCGCCCCACATAGGAGAAAGACCGGCTTCCCATCTATACCACAGCCACGCGTTTCGTGTGGAAGGGGGACCCTCCTCTCTTCCGGGAAAAAGGAGTCGTCGTCCCCCCCGCCCGCCTCCTCCTTCTGTGTGATCAGACTCTTGTCGGCGCTAGGTGGTGGTGGAGCAGCGAAAGGGGAACTTCGGGCGGATCTGCCGTGTGGGAAAAGATCGGCTTTCCCTTGCAAAACTTTGTTTTCAAAGCTGCCTTTCCCTCTCCTTCCCCCGATCGCAGTTCTGCTCCGCTATGTAAAAGGAAGCGCAGCGCGACGGCATCCTTCTAGCGAGACGCGGCCCATTCCGCCCTCCCAGGGTAAGGGGATTGATTTTCTAAAATAGCCTGTATTGATTTCAGGCCGTTTAAACAGCCGCCGCCGGAGAAGCAGAAAACGGGGGTTCCGTCCTTGGTTGACTAGCTTGGCGGTCCTCCCTCTGCACCACCAACTCTCTTTCTGATTCCTTGAGGATTTTGAAACCGGGGCGGGGTGAAAGGAAGCTCCTTGTTAGCGGTATACATACTTTCATTTATAATAATGCACCGCTTGTGCCCGCCTAATGGGAAGTTTCATTTCGAACGAAGGCTTTCCCATACTGTATGTTTATCCTGTTTCTTTTTATATTTTATCCTCCCCCAAACCTAGGAAGTTAGACGAGTGCTTTGACCAATACTTTATATGGAAAAAACAAGCTACTTATTTTCTCTTCCATTGACCTCATCAATTTGAACTTGCTGGGGGGAGGAGGAGGGAGGAAACGGGCAGAATGACCATGTATCATGGCAATGGGGTTCGCTACAACATTGTTGCTGTCTGATTTCTTTCTCCAGATACCCAGATTGTGAGAAGGAGCTCCCATTTCCTCCAGAGTCGTGATGTTAATCCGAAAAGTCTTGCTCTTCCTTCAGTGCTGCTGGCCTTCTTTGCTGCTTCACTGGATGCTCCATCCTATGTGGGGTTTCATTCAGGTAATGGAAAGAACCTCCCCACACCCCTTTTCCCTTGCCAGGGTGCCATTTCTCAGGCTTACTTCATTGACTGAGTTCTCAATGCAGCCTTAACTTCTGCAGAAAAGTACTTTGCAAACTGCTAATGAAATTACCTTGGCAGCAAAATATCTGAATTGTTTCAGAAGGAAGGTGCAAAACTGTCTGTGATAGACAATAAGTTCAGGTTATCTCACATAGGATTAATAAGGGAGAGAACTCCAGAACAGTTGTTATATGATTTTAAATTTCACCATTGGGATATCTTTGCACAGCTAATAGTGTGGACTTCTAGCTCATTGATCAGGCTGTCAATTTTAGAAGTGTCACAAAGCTTCATGTGGCTATTATTTTAAAAGCCATAGGTTTTGGAGATTACAAAAGGCGAAACACTTTCTCAACATCATCATTGATTGGGTTCAGAGTATTTGATGTTGAACTGCTTGGTGTTTTTACTAGTTTGGTTTGTCAAGTGATTTGTCCCACATATCTTCCATCACTGCACTTAAGGCTTTGTGACTTAATATGTCAGAGAAAGTAGGCTTCTGGATACTAGTTTTGTTGCTACAAACAAGTGCCTAAACCTATGATAAGACTCTCAGTCTTGTACTTTCAGAGAAGGATAGCAGCAAGATTGGATGATTTGACTGAGCACAGATGAGGAGAGTATCCCAAAGCTACTCTCACATATTTTATTCCGGCATTTGCACCCGCTTCCCCTTCCGGTAACACTGTTGTTTGGACTGTGGGGTTGGTAGTGGAAGCACTGGAAATCAGTCTAGTGTGTGTCCTTGGCAGTGAAGATAGCCGTACTTTCTCTTTGCTAACTTGTTCCTTGGTGCCTTAAATTGCTTGCTGCTTTGCATTTGAATGGGAAAGGCCAATGTTAATTTTTCAGGTTTGCCATGGTCATATATAATCTGGTTTTGTTGATTGTAGTCCATTTTTTTCATATAAAAAGAAATGAGAAATGCATATTTACACCCCAATTTTGTACAGCAGTTCAAGAGAGCGTGTGCAGTGAACCCTCCTCCTATTTATCCCCACCACAGAAGCACTGTGAGATAGGTTGAGCTGAGAGAGCGTACCTGACCTAAAGATGTCTGGTGAATTTCTATGGCTGAAGTTGGTTGCAGGGTGCTCCTAATCCTGCATCCTGACCATTAAACAAGCTCTCTTTTAGGCTAAGGGAAGTTGGCTTAATTTAAAGGAAAAGTGATTAGTAGTATGAATCCTAATAGATTTATTCAGATGTAATTGTCATTGAGCCCAGTGACCCTTTCAACTAAATATGATTAGGCTTGCTGCCTATGTGATGTTAAAGTACCAACTGCAATTCTAGGCACACTTGTCTGAAAATAAGCTGAACTGGATTAGATTTATTTGCAAATAAGTTTTCAAAGGATCATATAAAAATATAAAGAGAAGAGAAGAGGCTCAAGAAGAATGAAAATAAGGTAAAGAATCAGACCAAGAACTGCCATCAGAAAAGATTTTCTAGTTTCGATTGAAGTTTTGAGTGAAGTGATGGAGTTGCTTTTCATATTAGGGCAAGTGTTTCTGAACAAAGTTTTTAGTCTGGAAATTTTCTGTGTTGAATCAGATTATGTTTTAGTTGACCTAGGAAGTTCTAAATATTTTAAAGTTTATAATGTTCAAAAGGAGACTATGGTTAGGAGCTCAACCTCTGGATAAATTATATGCATCTCCTATTTAATTTTGGCATTTCGTCTTTCATAACTGATCTGTATATTTAATGGCAAAATACTTAATTGAACTAAGATAAATTAGATGCTATATGTGGGTAGTGTTACTTAGGGAAGCTCCCATAACAAGGAAAGTTTAATAATCTAACTGTATCACACATTTTTTACACTCCAATGATGTTCTTTTCAAAGAAATATGTCTCTTATATAAAGGCACCTCTGGCATTCTGGCATTGATTTTAGGCTTTGGATATTTAATTCAGTTCTAATATATGTTGCATGAATCCATACATAGATAGTATTATATTGTTTTTACTTATGAACAGTGCTTGTTCATTTGTTTTAATTATATTCCTGGATGTCCTTCACATTTTATGATATTCATTGTTAATCCTCCATAGTACTATTTTTATTGCATTATCCCAAATTTTCTAAACAAAATCCAAACCTCAAAAACTACAGCATTAGTTGCCTCATTGAAACAGATGCAAGTTACAATATGCAAGGGATCCAAGTCTTTTCCAGCATATTTAAGTGCTCAACGCTCTCGAGCTTAATGCCTACAAAATGCAGTCTGTTCATTTGGAGCAGGACTTCATCCTTGATTGTGTTGAAAAGAAGAGGGCTTTCCAAGACTCATGACAGTAGTGGCAGTGAGCAAGGTTTTTCCAAATAGCCTAATTTTATTAACATTTTGGCACAAGATCTGATGCAACTATGAATTGAATGCAGACTGAGTCAGCTTTGTCAGCTCTCTGGTTTCAATTTGCCATGCAGTTTGATCTTGATATTTATATGTGGTGACTAGCGATCATTATAAATACATATAGGGATAACAGCAAAGGCTGCAGTTGTGCTGACAGTATTGAATTCTTAATAATACCAGCAATATTAAAGTAGTGTTCAGAAATGAATCTTAGTAAGTAGGATACCAATCATCTATTTCGGGGTAGCAGCAGTATAGCCCAATTAATTAGAGTCGATTCTTTGCTTGGTCAATCTAACTTGGTCTTGATGGGGTCATTGATAACTGGAGTACTCAGAGGCCAAAGAAAATGAAGTTTTGCTCTTATAAATGTGGCAGACTGTAACATGTTAATATTTAAATTATTTGGCTTAACTTTCTCTTTGTTGGTCTTTAGATCTATCAGTTGTCCAACTGCTAAATAAGATTCTCACTTTGCTGCCTGTGATGCTTTAGAATCTGGATGGCTAAATTAGCTTACATAATTGAAAACCGGGCATGTTTACAAGGCAGATATAATTATAAGAAAATAACTGCTTTTTTAAACCAACTACCCTTGAATCAACAATTAAAACTTACATAAAGCAACTATTATATAAGCTTTGTAGGTAATATACATTATACAAAACAATAATATATTGAATTAGTAAAATCAAAGCATTTTAAAATACAAAATATGGGACAATATCTATTTTTATTTGCTTTTGTGCTTCTCAAAGTGCACATAGAGATGTATATTTTTCTTGTTATCAAGAAAACTATAGTGAAATGTCTATCAGCAGGAGTCAAGCTCATAGGACCCTTTAGTGTTATGCAAAAATATTAATGGAATAACTTTAATGGGAATATATACATGGGCTTGTTATTTAGATTATGCCTGGGAGAAAAGTGTTTGCATTAGATTTGTTAAATGTGATTTTATCAACATAAGCATTTTTTTTGGTTCATGTTGGATTATCAAAATAAAATTAACCACCATACAACATGAGTTTGTGAACTAGATTCCTGTAGAATTTAAATGATGGATTATCCCACCAGAGATTTTAAAAAATACTATAGTACTATCTTTCAGATCAGTGAAAGATCATATAGAATTCTGTGATATTCTTGATGTTTCAGTTGAATGGGATACACTTTGATTAAAAAGAGGGTCAAGGACTGAATGCTGGCTGAATCTCCAAGGGATTTCTGTTCCCTTTTGCTGAATGCTAGGAGCCACCATGCTTTATAAAATTCAAAATATCCATATTTGTATGTTAATTTTGAAGGCCTTTGGAATGTCAAAACGTCATCTGCGTGACTTCCTTCTTGCTTCTTGAAAGCACAACTAATTGAGATAAAACAGTTGCTTGAAGCAGTATTAGGGATATGGATACAACAGCCTTTTAAAATTTAACTGAGCATGTGTTGCTTGTCCTTCCCTTGTTTGCTGCTCTATGCTGCTGCTCTTTTGATGCAAACTTCATAATCAAGAACATATTTGTTATTCGGCAAATTAAAAACATTAGAAATATTAGACACTTTAAAATGTAATATCCTCACAGTTAGTGACAAATAAATACTGTATTTCGGTTCATTCGTATCAGTTGAAAATTCATTTAAGACTATCAGCAGGGAAAACCTGCAGTATATAATTTCTGTTATGGATACAATAATATGAAAAGGACAACAGGGGGCAGAGAATGAGTTTCATGCTTCATTTTTAGGTAAAATGTAGCTCCATTGCCTTGGGCTTGTAAGAATTTGTACCAGCACACACAAGTTTGATAAGGTCTTGGACAAGATCCAGACTCTTCCAATGCTATGTGGCAAAACCTAACAGTGTAGATAGAAATTAGTAGTGATAAACAGTCATGTAATTGATGTTGATGGAAATGGATTATGGATGATGGTACTCTGTAATTCAGATTTGCCTAAATTCTGTGATGCTATTACCATTTCAATTTTATAGATGACTGAATTGGAGTAGGCAATTCAATACTTTTCAGTGTGGGTAGATTCCTAAAAATGGGCTGCAATAGCCATCAATTATGGAGACTGGGAGCAATGATTCAAAAAACACCAAAGCAGCAGTTCACCTTCCCTACTCACCATTAAACTATATCATAAAATTACACAGATGAATATGGATCATGTACTGGGCCTGTGCTATTGCAGAGAGACTGAAAGCATCCACTTCCATTAAAAAAACCACTTCCTTGTTAGTTTGAAATCCATTGAGCTTCTAAAATTTTCCTTTCTCCTTGCAGATGTGCTATAAATCTCCAAAGGCCACCTTGATCTGAACTGTCTTGGTTGGTTTGATGAGAGTTTTTACAACTAATACTTCTTTATAAACTCTGGAGTTAATGTGTTAATTTTTATTTGTTGGTCCTAGTGGGAAAATCAATAGACTGTAGATATGGGATAACATATAAGTTGGTGTATAAATGACTAAATCTTGTTTAATTATGATTTAGAACAAGAGAGGACTACGCCCAAAATTATGCTACTCAAGTTTGATTTCCAAAAGGACAGGTTTCAGTCTCTGT